ACAACCCAGAAGATAGAAATCTACGTTCTTACCTCAAATCCTACGTCGCTGTTGTCATATGCCTTATTCCTCTCCCTTGGTCTGGCCTTTGTTTCTAAATCGGCTAACAAACCTAAGAGGGTTCTTGTAGTGTATGCTGGTATAGCGTCTCCAAATAGTCCACAACCGCTTTCTTCCATATCCTCCACAACCAACCTCCTCTCCGAAGATACCAAATCGCTATACTAGAGAGAAGTCTATGAGCTCGGATCCTCACAAAAAGAAACTGAAGAAAAAGTAAGGAAGAGGGAGAAACGTGAATAATACAAAGGAAATAAGTTTGCTTTCTCATTCCTAGAGAGAGAAGGAAACTGCTTATACTTCTTTTTGATGTATTTAAGATTAAGAAACTTTGAAATGTTTGAATTCCATTTTCTTGTCGTTACCCAGTGTTCTGTCTTCCTCCCCATTTCCATTCCGGTTCGACTTTTAAGCGCGATCCACGAAAAACAGTCTCGTAGTTGTTCGTATTACACTGTCTGTCTGTGGCCGAGGTATAAATCTGATATTTTTCGTTGTTTTCAAAACAGAATATCCGACATCGTATTGTTCCATTGTCCTCGTCACCAAAAACGACAGTCGTATTATAAAACTAGTGTAAAAATGTGTGCACGAATGAGTAAGCCATTTCCAAATTCATTCTTTATGGTTTTTATTACATCGCTGACCATCGTGTTTGTTGCCCTTGAACGTTAATCACTTTGCATGTCACAAGTATAGTCTATAAGCTATTATTTTTATTTTGTACTGAAGAATGCTTCAAATAAGATATTTACATTTTTTCACAGTGACTCCTTTTGTAAGGAAACTGGTGATGCACCTTAAAACAGGGCCACGACTGCTTTTCCATTTTTATCTTACATATTTAAACTCTGTATAAACTCAAGCTTACTGCCTCCATTATCAGGGCAATTCCCTGCACCCCTGAAACGTCGGTAATCTTCTACTGGACTACACTCACCGCCTTGATAACCTGATATATCACAAGAAGTCTACCCTCTGTTGTAAACATCTCTTATATTGGTTGTCAGGGTTGAAGATGGAGACAGTGTGTTCCTCAGAAACGTTTGTACCTACCTTCAAGTCTACACTGCGTCACAGCCCAAAGCCCAACCCACATAGAATCTCTACTCATCACACACAGGCCGGTATTCTAGGACAGTTCTAGATGTGATCAGATTCACGTTGTGTGACCCTCATTGGCCTCTTTGCTGTGTGCTCCGATGTAAAGCTACAACGACCAGTGATTCACGAACCCGCATCCCAAAGATGATGTCTGCAAATCGCAGTAGGATAGAATCAGTCCCCAGTGGAATAGACGTGAGCGTCGCTTGCACATATAGAATCATCCTTAATTGGAATGACTTGCTTTTTTAATGTATGGTTGATTTCTGGGTAGAACTTTCCGATCCTGTTGGCACAAAGGACTTAAAGAAAAGCCGCGAGTCATCGTGCCTGGATAAATAGTGTAGGATAAAAGGGGGAGGTGGAGATGCGGAAGA